AAAAAAAAAAAAGTAGACAAGTACAAAATTTATCACTGTACTAATCGGTGTTATAGATTAATTAACAGACGTTTTAGTCTCTAAAATTAATCACTTCCCTATTGTTCTTCTTGCTGTTGTTGCTCGTACTGTTTCAGTTGTCGATGTTTTTTTTCCAGAGAACATTCAAATGTTTAACAAATTCTAAGTTTATTCCTTTGTAAGCCCAACTCCCGTCTTATCAAAAAAGAAAGAAAAAAAAAACGAAATAAAGAACAAAACAAAACCATTTAGCAGCCATTTTTTTTTTTTTTTCTGACGTTTCCTCAAAAGCTACATTTCACCGCCTTATCACTGATTTACTGGACTATTGGTTGGACGAACGTTTGGGTAGTACCAGTTGCTGGAATTAAAGTCTGACTTTCAAATATTCATCTGTAAAACGTTTAGATTGCTTTGTCGACCAATTAATCACCAATTGCTGTAACACGGAAATGAATAAAGTATTTAACTGTTTAATGCGATCATTGTTGTTATTAGGAACAATTTATATTTACCTTTACAATGTACATATTTATCGACTAAATCTGTAGTTGAAAAAAACATTTTTCTTGTTTCCCCATAAATAGAAAGGGTAATAGTTGAATGAAAGAAAGACTTGCACACTTACAGTACCGGTCACTGATACATATGGCATAATCAAAAATGCTGTTATAGAATAACCGCAAAAAAGAAAAAACTTTTATTAAAAACTAAAATACGATAAAAAAAAAATTGTTAAAATAACAGAAAGCATTCTGTTATTATTGGAATTGTTGAAAAAAAAAAATTGGAGTTGTATAATCTCTTATGAGACTTACATTGCTTTATTGCATAAGTTTAAACGATATTTTATTTTATCGTTAAAAGAATTTTTCAAACAAAGAAAAAAAAACAAAAAAGAAGGAAGGAATTTCTTTTAGAATGTATTTTTATGTGAAAGAATAACCAAAACAAAAAAAAAGAAAAGAAAAGAAGAGATTTTTCTTGTCAAATTTATGCGGTATTTTCTTGTTGCTTACCAGCGGATTATTTACAGCTTTATCGTCTTTATCCATCCATACATTACTGCCAGTAAAAAGACAATGTTCAGTGTTATTGCTTTGCCTGACAGTCCATTGTACAATGATGGTAAATTTATCAGTATAATTTATGAAAAATTTTCCTATAAAATAAACAAAATTAAAAAAATTAACCATTCCTTATGTTCACTGTTTGTTGAAGGATTGATGGTGGAGGATGGAGAACAAAGGAAGGTGAGATGGGTGACCAGTTGAAAAAGCCGTTATTTTGAAAAACAATCATAGTGTAAAAAAATTCAACACCTATAATAATCTATAAATTGTGCATCAGATTATCAGACCAAATCATCGAAAAGCAATACGAAGAAACTGATAATTATAACTGTTTATAGAATTGACAATACAAAACAACGGAATAGTAAATTTTCTTTTTCTTCCCAATCGGTTATCCCCCGGCAAATGTCTTTGTAAATAAACGCGGTTTGCAATTTCACAACAATCGCCTTTAATGGGGTGGGGTATTTTTTTGTCCTTTTTTCTTGAGCAATCAGAAAAAGAAAGGAAAAAACGAGAAGAAAAAGAAAATTATATTTGAAAATCAAATTAATTTATGAATTGGGATGTGTTTTTTACAAAAACAAAATAAATGAAACAAATGTAACGACTTGGGGGAAAAAAAAAAGAACTTGCAAAATGATGGAACAATTGTTAAATCGAAAAGAACAGCAAAACTTTGAAACAAAAAAAAAATAAGAAAACTACAGCGGAGAAAAATTTAGTTTTTTTTTTTCTTTTTTCCGGCTGTCAAACATTTAATAAAATAAAACTATTAACATTGATAATATTTACAGCTTTTTTTTTTCCTGTTTGTTTCTTTCGTTTTCTTTTCTACAAATAACTTGAAAAATATACTAAAAATGTTTGAACTTATAAACTTAATGTTGAAAAATTTTTTTAAATTTTACAAAAAATTCTATCACAATTTGTTGATTAATTACTTTTCTTGTTATTTTCCT